ATGGACGGAGCTGTCAAAGAAATCGCTCGGTAATCCCACTGGCGGGGATCTGCGACTCCCGCCTCTTGTGCATCATCTTCATCCTCTTCATCATTATAAACTCCGGCTAAAAGGCTCAGACCAGCAGACTTCTTTACAGTGGATGCCTCCTTTTCGCGTGGGGTTTCTCAAAAAGTCTCCAGGCAGCTCTGACGACGATGGCCTGCACTAGACGAAGGTTTCGCCTTTTTCCCCTGAGTGTTTTCACTCTCCTGTGTTTTTTCCTCTTCAATGGTTGACCCTGTGGTGCCCGGGCTGAGACTTTGCTCCCTTCAGCTCGGCCACCTTCTCCTTATGTTGCTTTCCCAGCCATTGAGCCGGCCACACAAGCTCGGACTTGACCTGCACATTGCACAGGACGCAGCTGAGGTGGTCGAGACTGTTGTATTTAGCGAAAGGAGACTCCACTCGCTTCTTGTCCGTCGTCTGCCTTTGTTTTGCCCTCATGAGGCGCCGAAGCTCCTCTTGATTCACGACTTTCTTCCCCTTCTTAGAGGCTGCCATTCTTAAATGAAAACAACAACAACAACACAGCTCACAGGGGGTAGGAAACTATGTGGCCTCTCCGACGGCGCGAACGAAAGAAGCAGGGGGGGGGGGGCGTCTCGCGAAGATGACGTTCACTTGCATAAATCGCGTTCAAAATATTAATCTCGCGAGATTTGCTTCTCGCAGCAGTTGCTAGCAGTAACGTTAGCTCCGTCTGGCTTCTGTGTACCTTGCGTCCGCCTGAATTTTGCGGCAAAGCAAAAGTGATTCGATAATATTTTTAAAAAAGCAAGTCGAAGGAGCGGTAGAAGATACGATGATGTAGTCGTTTGATTTTCGTTCTTATTTATAGATGTGTGTTGATTTAGTGCGTACACGTTGTGTTATGTTTAGCATTATTTTTGGTTTTCATCGCCGCACCCTCCATAGTCAGTTTTATTGGGGAGCGAGATAGCGAGATAGCTAATGTTTTGCTGGGAGCTAACGTGCTAAAAAGCAGGTGTAAACTACGGGACACAGTGCTGTTCGCTTTAAAGTACTAAGAAGCCCTTTTCTTTTTTTTTTAAATCTGTTTTCTCGCAGATTTATGCCACATCTTGCTGTATAGCCCGGTAATAACACACTTCCTTCGCCTGGTAACAACACGGTAAGGCATCACCGTTATCATCATGACAGGTGAGAAGATACGCACCATGCGAAAGGATAACAACAAACCCAACAAAAATGACGAGATAATGGACACGTACGAGGAGACTTCAAACGGGACTATTCCGAACGGCACCGGTAACCATTTTAAATCCAACAAGGCTTTTCAGAGATCAGTGAAAACCTCGGCGCTGCAACAACAACAACAACAACAACAGCTTAATGACAATAACATTAATGGCAACTCGTCGTCAATCGGCACCGTCGTCAATGATGACAACAAGAATCCGATAATCCTGACAAGTGAGGACTTGGAGTTCCCTGTTCACGAGTGTGTGTTCAAGGGAGATGTACGTCGGCTCTCCTCCCTCATCAGGACCCACAGCATCCTTCAGAAAGACGTGCATGGTAAACCTCATGCAAAAGAGATATCTCAGCTTTCTCTGCTCACATGTTTTTGTTTTTATATATATATATATATATATATTTGAATGATTAAAGGACAGATAATGAAATGCCTCTCTTTCAGGGAACACACCTCTTCACCTGGCTGTGATGTTGGGTCACAAAGGTAAGGCTGACAGAAGAATAAAATATATACTTTTTTCTCTCAACAGCCCTTTGTAATACACTGAATAAACCAAAAGAAACAAAAGGTTATCTCTCAGACACTTATCTTTGCACCTGTCATTGTGTGGCTTTTTTTTTTGTGTGCCTCTGTTAAAGCACTTCAGGTCTCCCTTCTGTTATTGGGAGCAGCCTCCATACTCCTGCTGCACTCAGCATGTCTTACCTGACCTCAGCAGTGTCCGTATAACACGCTGTTGGTACAGCACAGTTGTTAGATTTATTGCATGCAATGCATCTAATTTGTAAGGACAGGGATTCTTGTTTTAGTCTTTTTTTTTTTTTTTGCGCAGTAGTCAATTCAGTTGTATTTTAAATGTGCCCCTGAAAGCTTAATGATCTGTGACAGATGACACCCACTGTGATTAGACCCTTAGGCAACAGCAAAAAAAAAAAAAAAGTATGTAACAGAGTATGTAACCCTCTTGTAGTAGAGAAGTAGAGTTTGCTCGACTGTTATTGACGTTGATGTAATGGATATGTGCACAGAGGCAGCTGTGGCTCAGTTGGTAGAGTGGTCGCCTTTCAAACAGAAGGTTGAGTGTTCAATCCCCAGCTTGGCAACATGGCCAAGACACTTGAAGATGGCCAAGAATTGCTCCTGCTGCTTTGGTGTATGAATTGGATTAGTTACTAAAGATGGATGATATTACATCACTACCATCAGGGTGTGACATGTGGTGTAAAAGCACTTTGAGTAGGTGGAAGACTAGAAAAGTGCTATATAAGCTCAAGTCCATTTACCGCTTACCATGTAAAGTTCCTTATTTTTCTTCATTTAAAGATTCATTGTTAGTCAAAGCATTACTATGAAGCGTTATATATTTTATCTAGACTCTGTTGCAACGGTTATGTAAAATAAAATCTAGCTCCTATACTTGGCATGGCCAAGTAACATGGACAACACAAAGTATTGACAATAATAAAGAATTTATCACTATTGTTTCTGTAATCATTTCTTGTGTTTTTCTTTCAGAGTGTGCCCTCCTACTATTGGCCCATAATGCTCCTGTAAAGATCAAGAACGCACAGGGATGGAGCCCTCTCGCAGAAGCCATCAGCTACGGTGACAGACAGATGAGTAAGTTATGTCATCAACCCTGCCCTAATAGAGCAGTCTTCTGTCAAAGGGGATTTGTATTTGAATGTGTTCATTATAATCTCAGTATCACTTCTGCAATCATACATTCACTGTAAAAAAAAAAAAAAAACAGCAGGTTTGAGCCTGTGTGATGGGTCTACAGTTTTATGATTGGCTTTATGATGTCAGTCTAAGTTAGTCACTGTTTGTTGGTAAGATAGCCATGCTGGCATCTGGAGTTGATTTCTGTATGAATGCTAATGTTGTGGCCGTTTGGGTAAATGTCACCTTAATTGTCGTCTGTTCAGGAATTATAAGTGGTTGGATTGCTCTGCTTTCTTGTGTTACATGGAAGGATAGAACAAATGTTCTTTGTGTAAAATGAAATTCAGAGATTATTCTTTGTCATTGTTAATATGTTATACAAAATTTCATTCTATATTCAGTCTCCTGTGGTTTGCAAAAATGATTCCTGGGAGGGAAGACAGTAAAGTCTTTTCAGATACGACTGTACAAGCTTGGCATCTCCTGTTAGACAGATTATATTTTTTGCTTTATTCCCAAAGTTTCTGCTTTCATATGGGGCACTAAATCAGTTGTAGAGTTGAAAACAGTGTCACAAAGAACATGTTAAGATAGCAAAAGAAAGAATTCCACCTTGTTAACCCTAAATGTAACCACTTTGTTACAATGTTTTACAACATATACACATTATTATATTATATACAAGTCTAAATTCACTATCTTTTATTTAAATATGGAGGGGAAGTGGAAACAAACACTTTTGGACCTCACAGCATGTATGTGAGTGTTTTACGAGTAGTTAAATTGTTTGAAAACTGCTGTCTGGTCGGTGCAGCTGAAAAGCTGATGTTGGAGATTTTCTCTGAGTGCTGGTTATCCAGATGGGCTGGAACGCAGCCGGAATGTTGGCTTAGTGTGAGGAAGCACTGAGCTTACAGCCTGGTCAATCCACTGCTTAATGATTCCTCTGCTGCTCTCACATCTAACGTCCAGTGCAACAGAGTCAAACAGATAATATGTGTGAAAGGAACCAGCTAATGTCTGTGGGCTGGAATTCTATGATCTTGTCTTTGTTTTTGTTATTTAAGCAAAGATAAAAGAAAGTATAAAGGCCAGGCTAAGTGTCTAGTAAATGGTCTGTTTTTGTGACATAGCTGAGTTAAATTAAATTCCCATGTTGCTATTTGGCTTTATTGATAACCTAACCATGAATTATATGCATCCCTTTCTTATACGTGATGAAGGACATGAGGCCCAGTTTATAGAGAAATGACCCTCAACCTTGTTAGTATGCATCCCAGCTCTCTGTGGCTGCAGTGGCAGACTGGCTGGGGACTGGGACCAGGAGTTTAGCTTGAGAGAAGGTCACATAATTCACAAGGGGGAAGGGGAGGCTGGAGCGGGGCTGGAGGGGGGCTGGAGGGGGGCTGGGAGCATTCACACATTAGCAAGGGCATGCAATGATAAAGATCTGGCAATAGTTTTTACATAAGGATCTTCGGTTGACTAACATGCAGCAGCAATCACACAGGGATGACTTGTGTGATGTGCTTGTTATCTCAATGGGGGGTTTACAGTTTAATATCTTTTCATAAAACACTGCAGTCTTGTCATCCGCCATCACCTTTCGCTTTAACACGTGTACACGTTGTGTCAGCAGCTCGCTCACTGGTCGTCTCTGTGTGCAATGACGAGCTGCTCGAGTACAGGAAGAGCCTCGTCAGCACTTCTCTACTTAGTCCAGATTTCCCCTCTGGTCAAGAGCACCAGGACACATCTGAGGTGTGCAGCTTTTTAGTGGTCCATCCAGTATTACTAAGTGGAGGGCGCATCGTGTTAGTGTTGTAATGTATCAGCTGATCTAATCTCATATTCTGATGCTTGTAATATGAACAGTGACACCTCTGTATAGGAATAGGTTGAAGTAGAGAAATGATGCTTCCCCATAGCCCCAGCTCTGACTAAACACTAAACCAGAGCTGCAACATTAAATCAGTTCATTTAGAATTCTGTCGCCAAAAATCATAAGCAACTCATTTGTTTGAGTTATTGATTTGGGCATATTTGTCGTGGGGGAGGAGGCCTAATAATCTCTGGTTCCAAGTTTTTCAATGTGAGAATTTTCACACGGATGCCTGTGTGAAATGGTCTTACTATCAGCTAATCTCTGATAAGTGCCAATTTAGTGGAGAGGTTTTTTAAAAAAATTTGGATTTTTTTTTTTTTGGAGGGACATATTGCAAACAGGTGTTCTGTGTAACCTGAAGAACAGCAGAAAGACATATGAACTGAGTTAAAGCTAATGTGCACTCTTTATTTTTCTTTATTTATCGTCATTCTTATCATTAGCACAATGTTTTGAATTGCACATATTGCATATTTTTCTCATATCGTGCAGCCGTAGTAAACATTAAACTGTGCTCTCTGACAAATTCTTTGATGCAAAAACTGATTCCAATGAATTTGGGATTTGCCTATAATACCGCTTAGCCATAAGTGTGTGTTGTATCCTTTGTTATTCAAAGGTGGTGCATGAAACTTAACTTTTTACTCCAATTCAGCAGCTTTACCAGCTGTTGTCCAGGTTTTCATTTGTAAAAAAAAAATGGAGGTCCTTTTTTTTCTTTCTTCCTCTTCTTTCCTCAGTCACGGCAATACTGCGGAAGCTAAAGCAGCAATCCAGGGAGAGTGTGGAGGATAAGAGGCCAAAGTTACTGAAAGCTCTGAAGGAGGTAAGAGTCACACTGGCTTCATCAAACTTTGACTGTAATCTCTGCAGACTTTGATTTGCATATATAATTAACGCCTGCCCTTGAGGATGTATTTATCGCTTAAGTATATGATGGAAAATCTTCAGTTAACTACACTTAAATGTATAATGAATAAGCTGAATCCTATGGTGAGACATGCTCATGTCTTTTCTGTAGCTTGGTGACTTTTATCTGGAGCTGCATTGGGACTTTCAGAGCTGGGGTGAGTTTCATAGTGTTGACAAAAAGTTGTTGACATTCCGCATTCTCAAACTTTATTCCAGGAAGACACGATTTAGTTTGAAAGTACTTCACTAGTTCTTTAGAGTAGCTGCATGTTTCAACTGTTGCCTAAAGATAAAACAAAGATACTTGTTTATCATCCACAGTTTATAAAGCCAGACTTGATTCAAACTCTCCTGTGCATTTCAGTGCCTTTGCTATCCAGGATGCTGCCATCTGATGCTTGTAAAATCTACAAGCAGGGAATTAATATCAGGTAAAAGTCTTCGTTTGATGAAGCTGTTCTATAAGAGAATCTAATTCACTGAGTTTAAAGCAGCAACCGGTCCATATCCAGGTCAACGACTTCTTTTAGATCCTAAAAGTAGGACATCAAAGCTTCACACACTCCTTCTCCTCCCTCTTGATTTAGACTTGACACAACTCTCATAGACTTCAATGATATGAAGTGTCAGCGCGGAGATCTAAGCTTCATATTCAACGGCGATGCAGCGCCCTCCCAGTCCTTTGTGGTTCTCGACAATGAAGCTAAAGTGTACCAAAGAATACACCACGAGGTGAATGAACCGTGTGACCATGCCTCTGCTTTCACAGTGAGTCATCGGCTGTTTAATATGAATGTGTTGTGCCTAACTATTGTTGTCCTGCCCTCAAGGAGTCTGAGATGGAGACTGAAGAGGAGGTTGATATTCTGATGAGCAGTGACGTCTACTCTGCAACTCTGTCCACCAAGTCCATCAGTTTTTCTCGCAGCCAGATCGGCTGGCTGTTCAGAGAGGATAAAACAGTAAGCTTTATTGGTCCAAACAAATTTACCATACAGGGATAATAAAGTGTGTAACTTATCAAAACTGAGACTTTACAGAGCTGAATGTGAAGTCACACGAGTCGACATTTCAAAGATGTTAAAAGGAGAAAAATCAAAGCATTACAAGACTGCATGTTTAAAAGATGTCCTTGGCCAGCCCATTTTTAGGACATTGGACTATTTTTTGGTATTTTTATTTTTTTTCCCAGAAACAGTTTTAAATGAGTACAGCAACATCCACAGTCTGTTTTATTGTTGAAAATATGTCTATCAATCAAACAAACTAGCTTTTCAGATTTTAGGATTAGAACTACGATGAGTTCCAGAGTGATTTTTACCTCTCAGAATGTTTTCTTTAAATCACTTCAATACTGAAACACAATGTAATTATCCAGTGACGTGTTAGAAATTCAGATAACTAAGACAGAATAGTGGGGCGCTGGTTGCCTCGTGGTAAGTGCATTCCTTTCTATTTAGTCCTCTTTGATTTATCTTATCAGAGCTGCTCTTAATATAAGAGAAGATGTTTTGTTTTTGTTTGTCTTCTGAAAAGTTGGTTCAGTCCCACAGGCCTCAGGCTGCAGGTTTGACCAGCTAAGATGTGATTGTTGTCCACACAGGAGCGGGTTGGGAACTTCCTGGCAGACTTCTATTCTGTGAACGGGCTGATGCTAGAGTCCCGGAAACGACGAGAACACCTGAGCGAGGAGGACATCTTGAGGAACAAAGCCATCATGGAGAGCCTGAGTAAAGGAGGCGGCATCAGTGAACAAAATTTTGAAGTAGGAGAGACAACATTGATGTACACATGATTGATGGTGTGCTCAGGACTGTGAATGTGCCCCTAACTGACATTTGTCTTCTCCTCAGCCTGTGAGGAGGCAGTCACTCACAGCTCCAGCACCCAACACAATTTCTTGGGAAGAGTACATCACTGCAGAGCAGGGAAAGTACGCATCTTCCCAAAGCTTTCCTCAGTCTTTGTCTAACTTAAGAAAAGTAATCAGGTCAAGATGGGTTTGAAGCACATGTGAACCATCATGGCTAGTAAAAAAAAAAGGAACATCTTTGTTTTTTTTTCTTTTTCTGCCTTCAGGCCTCCTCATCTTGGTAGAGAGCTCGTGTGTAAGGAGAGCAAGAAGAACTTCAAAGCTACCGTAGCCATGAGCCAGGATTTCCCCCTAGGCATCGAGTCGTAAGTACATCCATTTCTCCTCAGATCTATTTACAAAGCTCTCTGTGCAGATTGATCCCAGGTGAGTACGCCTGGATAGATGTGGGATTTCAGAAAAGAGTAGAGTAGAGATGAAATAATTCAGAGAAGATAATTGGGCTAGGTAAAGGTTTCACTGTCGGTAGGATTAGAGAGTCAACTGCTCCACCATGTGATTACTTTTTTTAACTCAACTAGGGCACCTTGTTAGCTGTGCTTGGGGCGTTTGAAGGAATAAGCCTGCATATTTCTCTCTTATTCCTCTATCCTTTTGTGTCTCACATCATGCCTCTGGCAGCTTGTGGCATTTATTTCAGGCTAAATTAGTAAATGTAGACGTTAGAGCATATACAGGGTAATTAAGGCTAATGGAGGAAGCTAAACGTTCGCTTTTATTTTAAAGAAATGAACTACTATTGAATTACCTTGAAATCTGACAAAGAATTAAAGACTGAAGCCATGTTACACTAAGTAGGCAGGAGGAGGCAGGCATAAAGGATGTGGTTTTGTTTTTGCCTGCTATGTTTTAGTAATGTAGTTAATTGCCTTATCTCCTGCACTGAATGGTCCTTAATGGATCCAGCAAGGAAACTCCACCCTTTAATAATAGCTAATATTGTTATTGCCCCTCCCCCCCACCCCTCTGTAAATGTTCAGTATGAGTTCATTAAGTGTCAGTCTCAATCTGTCTCTCAATCTGTATACACCTCGACACAGTTCAATCATAACAGCGACCAACCTGAAAGTAAGAACCTACAACAGGGTCCCAAGATAAATCTGTGAGGGGACCTCATTTATATTTCTAACACAGTTAAAGGACCAAAGTAATTATGGTCTATACGTCTGTTTATTGTTGTCAAGGCTGAAATTCACACAAACGACTAATTAGATTTCCATTGCATTGTGCTCTTCAAATCATGCTTCACTTAAGAGACATTATGTCTCCAGCAGGTCACAGTTTCCTCTAGAATCATTGATGGATTGGCAGAAATGTCACTAACCGTACATTTGTGATTTCCAGTCAACTGTTTCCACAAATATTCAATTGGTTGATTGATTGCTGTGAAATCAGGTGCAGACTTTCATCTTCTGCTCAGGTTGAACACTAATGAAGGCATTTCAATACCTTGATGAAGTAATGACACCACCAAAGGCCTTTTGTGTCCTTAGAGTGAAATGGGTTGTCAGGGTTTACTGTTTACCATTAGTCGTGTTGACTCATTTCTCTCAAATCATTAAGTTTTTAAATTGTAAAACGCTTAAATCTGTTCAAGCGTCACAATGATATCACAATACAGCGATTATGGGATAATCAATCAATTGCGAGACAATCCTATAATAATGCATCACGATACCTAAGCAATTGAAGAATACAAAATGTTCCTAACAAGGTGAAGTGAAGGGCTAATGTGTTCATTCACTGCAGTTTGGCGTCTGTTTCCCCTCTTTTCATGCTTCAGCCTTTCATATCTTTCGTTCAGTGGTCTGACTTTATCTTGTGTCTTCTTCTGCTTTGTCCATTCAACTAGTAGTGATGTATGGAGTCAAATTGGCAGGGATATCAGTTTAGAGCGCTGTTGTTGTTTATTCAATTAAAATATCGATATTTTGCAAAAAGCAGTTTGATAATTGTATCACATGAGTCAGGACAGTGATTGGCGTATCTCTGGTTTGTGCCACCCCTTCTCTTTGGTTGACCTACATGTGACTCTAGGACCTACTCAAAAGGTGGGAGCCGGCTTAAGCCAGTGCAAATATTCCTTATACACTCAGATTGCAGTTTTTTTGTTGTTGTTGTTTCACAAGTTCAGATTTCAGGAGGTGGTCCTCACCTTGCAGGAAATGTTTGCAGGGAAACGATGTGAAAGAAAACGGCACACTCATTTTCTTCTGGCCTCAGGTTACTCAACGTTTTGGAGGTCATAGCCCCGTTCAAGCACTTCAACAAACTCCGGGAGTTTGTACAGATGAAACTTCCTCCGGGATTTCCAGTCAAACTCGGTATGTGTCGATTTACCTCTGTGTTCCTGAGAAGTGAGCGAGCTTGAGGGGAACTATCACAAAAATAATGCTGTTGTTTTCTCCCCTGTAGACATCCCCGTCTTCCCCACCATCACAGCAACCGTCACCTTTCAGGAGTTTCGCTACGACGAATTTGAAGACTCTATGTTCGTGATCCCCGCTGAATACAAAGAAGACCCCAGCCGCTTCCCTGACCTCTGACCTGCTGACACAAACAGGAAATGACCACTGAGCTTAGATGTTTGGGAGGAGGGAAACAAAATGAGGAATCTTCTTATTCGTAAATGTATTATCCTATCCATTTCTGGTCAGATCGATCAGTTGTCGCTCATTTCGCTGATGGATCCAAAGCAAATCAATGCAAACAGGTTTTTTTTAGAGCGCTATCTCATTTGTATGCCTCGTTTCCACTGCATGGTAAGGCTCTGTTGGACTTTTTAATGGAAAAGGTGAAACAAGTTGTTGCTAGTACCCGGTACTCCTCTTGGTATCACCTCAGCTGTGGTTCCATGCAATCTGAGCCTATAAAGAACTAAAAGAGTTCACATGACCGATGGGTAAAAGAATAGTCACTTGCATGTACATGACGGCGTCCGCCCTAAGTAGGAGGTTGGAAGGTCAGCGGCAGTGACTTCAGCACGTTCACAGCGTACACATTTTAATACATCACTTAAGTATGTAGCATATTAAACATGCCTATCTAAAGTTCATTGAATAACGTCTGTTGCATTAAATCTGTGCTTGTGTACTTGAAGTGGAGACACGACCACATGCCACACCTGGGTAAGAAAAAAAATGAAGTACTAGAACCAGTTCCATGCAGGTCGAGTCAAAAAGGGCCGATACCTTGCTGGTAGGAAAAGCGGCATTAGATGCATATCTGCATTATTTTTGTGAAATAAGTGATAGTTTTTATTGTTCTTGCTGTTCACCAACTGAGCGGTTAAACTGCTGCTCTGAGCTGCTCTTCTCTCCTGTAAACGCTCTTATAAGAAACCATTCTGAACTCCTCATTTTTACTGCGTTGTTAGGAACTCGTTCTGGTCCTTTCCAGAATTCTCGTTCTTTAAAGCACTGACATCATCATCTGTAAATGATTCACATCTCATCTGCAATTCATAACAAAGAGAACTTAAAAGTAAAACTTTATCCTCAAACGGAGCTTAATATTCATTTATAAATGATGTACTATATATATATATATACTCAAAAGGAGTAACACTGTGTAGCAATACATTTCCAGTCCTTAAGAATGTTTTTAACCAGCTGGGAGAAGATTTAGCATAAGAACACATTGTTAACCGTTCAATACCTGAGCCTTTTCCCCCTATGCAGGACACGGTCTCCTGTGTTTTCAGGTTCACTCATGTTACCTCTCTGCTGTCTCCATGTTTGTCGTGCCAGTATGGACTCTGTGCTCAGTGCGAGTGAGTCATTGTCATGTATAAAGGATTGTTGTATGTACGTCTGTCTGTGGGAGAACCCGGTGGGATATCAGGTAAACTGTGATAAGTTTAACACTGCACTGATATTAAGTATATTTAAGGCATGCTATGGCTGCAATGGCCAACTGGATCACATGCATTGTTAAGATATATTCGCTGAACGTTTGTTATATTACCTGAAGACTTGTTATTTAGATTTAAGGAGAAACTGAAACTTGTAACACTACCACTTTGAAACACCTTTCAGTGCTTATTAAATCTCTCCTTGATGGTAGTCCAAGCATACTTTACTTTTTTTTTATTATTCAAGAAGAGTGAACTAAGCTGTGAAGTTATATTGCTGGAATTTTCCAAAACTGTCCAGAAGGGAAATGATCTGATGGTCCATTGATTTGTCTTTGGCTTCAGCTAATGTGTACTGCAACCATACCTACTTCACATCCCTTTAAATAAAGCACCAGCATCATGTTTCAAATGACTTTCTGTGTGTTTGATTTAAACACTGTGTTCTATATGAGACTCTAAATGCAGGACGGGGATAAGTACATGTCAACAAACAACAGTTTGGATGTGCTCTGATATCTGCTGTTTTAATACAGATACTTAAGTACATGTTTCTAGATCCTTATGTTGAGGTACTTTCAGTCAAGAAGGTAAGAGGGGAAACAGACATTTATGTATGGTTTGACTGATGCAGCTGCTGTTTGTCATTTTAAGTTTTTCTGCCGATAACTTTTTTTTGGTCAAAAACTCTTCACTTTCCTGTCGTCTCTTAATTTTTCCAAGTAGTCTGAAAACCCAGAGGTTTAAAATAGAACTTAAATAGAAAGTTGTAAAAAAATAAATAAAAAAAGTTGTTTATTTTAGCCAGGAAGCAGAAACAATCACATTTTTCAAATATATATTTGGATATTAACAGACTGATGTCATTAAAATAAATGGTAAATGGACTTGTGCTTGTAAAGTCCTTTTATACCACAGGTCACAGCTACCCATTCACACTGATGGTAGAGGCTGCTGCTGTGTGTAAAGTGGCCAGAAGTAACTAAACCCATTCATACTTTGAATTTCCCTCTGGGTCATTAAGTATCTTATCTATACATCACTGACGAAGCAGCGGGAGCAACTTGGGGTTACGTGTCTTGCCCAAGGACACATCGGACATGTTGGGGATCGAACCCCCAACCCTCCAGTTAACAGGCAACTAACTCTACCAACTTAGCCACATAGAAAATAATACGCAATTCTATCTTATTTGCTACTCAAATCAAAATCACGTCTGACCTAAAATTAATTTTGTACCTATTTACTTTTTGTTCACCTTGAACATTACTGTGACTGTAAATTAAGTATACTACAATGTTGTCCATCCCCTCCCCTCACTCTAAATGTGGCTTTTCATGTATCCTTTTTCATCTTTGGGTGCATTAGGAACTAGCAGCCATGTTATAGTGTTTTCTTTAGTTAAGTTGTGTTTTGAGGCTTTTGTATTCACCACACAGTAGCTGAACAGAAATTCTCCATACATGTACAATGATGGAGGGCTGCCTGGCCCTCTCTGCAGTGAAGACATCCATCCATGCAAAATAAATAACTCCAATCACAGTTCTCCAAATAGGCTTTATTATAAAAAGAAACCCTTGATAAAACAACATGTCCAAATAAAAAATAAACACATTAACTGTTTCAAAGAGGTGAAGAAGAGGCCTGAGCAACACACCACAAAACTTAACAAATATGTAAAAGCTACAGTATGTGGAAAAAGAAAAACAAGAACACAAGTGTGAGAAAGCAAAGCCAGCCTCCTTCCAGTTTTAACTGATTACAACGAATGAGGCAACAAGCATACGGGAGCTTTCAAGCGATGTGACGTCTTTGGAATCATCGAAGCAAACACAACACTTCTGCATTGAACTTTTGCAACAACAGAAAAAAGAAAAAAAAAAGAATTCATGTAACACTCACTTTAGATTTGTAGCATTACCCCGGATTGGAAAAAGTCGAGCATTTCAAATAGAAATGGAGGGATTAAGAAGGTAAAAGCAGGACAGACAACTTAATCGCTTACATCCATGTCTTCTTCATGGTGATCACTGGCTCCGTTAACTTTG